CCGACCAGCCCCATAGTTTGTCCAGACGAGCCTGTCTGCTGAGGCAGCAATTGAGTGCGATGGGAGACGGGAGGGTCACGCTGGTCTTGCAGAGCCCTTGCCAGCCCTTCCCTCCTCCGGGTGAGCAGTGGTTCTGCCCGCAGCAGCGGGGATGTGCGCGCCAGCCCTTCACCTCATTATCACTGTCTTATTGCAGTAAGAGCAAGAGAGCCCAGCTGAGGTTTGGAAAGGTCCTTGTAGGTCACGCTGTCGAGTGCCTTGTTACCACAGGCACTCGGTAGTTCAGTCCTCTTCCCAAGGTCCTCTTGAATGGATGTCTCCTTACCCACCCAGCTAAGCAGAAGGGCACAGTGTGGAGGGGGGCATCAATGATGAGCAAGAGAAAGAAATCAGCAGCAGAACCAGCTCCCCTGAATTCACAGAATCATAGAATCTTTGAGTTGGAAGGGACCTTTCAAGGCCATCTAGTCCAACCCCCCTGCCGTGAGCAGGGACATCTTCAACTCGATCAGGTTGCTCGGAGCCCCATCCAACCTGACCTTGCCATGCTGTGTCCTGTCCTTGCTAATCCCGCGAAGCATCACATGTGAGACAGGAGGGAGAAGCATCTTGTGGCCTCTCTAGAGTTGAGAATATTTATTTTTTCTTAAGTATACATTGATTGTACCGCGAGGGAGAATTTGGGTTGGAGGAGCCAGTTGCAGAACCCCGCTATTTTTTTGTCTTTAGCCTGTAAGTTTATAACTTCTATGAAAGGAAGCAAAAAGCCATCAGAAGCAACAAGAACCAAATGATATAATGATCTTTGTTTCTAAATTTTACTGTGTTACAGGGATGGAGCACCATCCATCCCGGCCCACAAGACTTCTGGGAAGCTGAGAAGAACAAGGTATTCCCATTTCAGTATTACCAGACAAGCTGCCATGCAGCTACCATGTTTGTATTTCTCTTTTTAAAAAGATAAATAAAAACAAAGCCACAAAGAAACCCAGCTCCCAAACGAAATCCATTTGAAAACCATGTTTTTGTCATCTCTACCATGGTTTATTTGACTAATCCCTAGTGGGAGCGGGAGGTGGACTCCAGAGCTAAGGCCCTAGGTCTTTATGGTGAGGGGTCTCCTCACTACTGAAGATTTTCCTGCACGCAGACATCCCATACTGGATGATTAAAAAAGAAAAGAAAAAAAATCTGATTTGCTTGAATCCTTGCTCCTTCTTTCCTTCCCCCTGCCCCACCGGCTATTTTTTCCTACATCTGAAGAAACACAGTCCCCTTTCTTTTCTGAAATGGGGATGTGTCCCTCAGCATCTCTGTGAAGAAAGAGCACTGGTCAGGTCCTCAGCAGGTCTGGGGAAATAGTGATTGCAGTAAATTGCAGACATCTACCAATGGCCTTATGCCAGCGGAGATCAGAGACGTGGAGGACTCTGCTCAAAAGCTGTATGACTGGCGGCTCTTAGATACTCTTGCCTGCTCCTTGCACTTTGGATGTCCTCTCCGTTCTGCTTCCGAAGCACAGGCTGCAAGGATGGCCGCATCCGCAGGGATGTCCATGTCTTGGAACCCACAGATTGCAAGAGTCTTGAATGCTGTCTACAAATCCCTGCGCCTTTCAGGACAATGTGTTGGGCTTGCCGCCGCTGGAGCTGCGTGATGCTTCAGCGTGAGTCTGAAACGAGGGAAGTGGAGACACCAGATCTGAAATGAATTCAACCTCTGGATCCTGAAGAGGGATATACCTGGAGGAACGAGGTGACAGTAAGATGACCGTTGGAGGGGAGTTCATGTGTGTACTGAGAACTGTACCCCAAGGCCAGGCACAGAGCTGTTGCAGGAGCGAACCTGTTGCTCACATGAAGAATGAGGCTGTTCCCACTTCATTGCTCGAGCTGCCCGTAGGGACAGAAAATAGGATCTACAACTGAGTCAACATCTAGAGGAGTCGCTGCCTCGCAGGCATCCCCGAAAGCTACATCCAACAAGTAGGGTTGGGCAGGTGTCCTGTGTCGTTTCTAAGTGAGGAACAGGTCGGGTTCATAAACACCCGGTAACGAGTCCTGCGAGCAAGCAGCAGCTGGACTTGACGTAGCACAGTCCCCTCGTCCTGCAGACGCACACCTCAGTGAAGACCTGTGCATGAAGCTGCTTCTGCGTGGGAAGGGAGGATAACGGCATCTCTGAGCTCAGTGTTGGGAAACAGGCGCTGCTTCCCAGCAGCCGGGAGAGCCAGAGGTGTGGGATGGATGGAGGTCATCCAAGCTGCAGGGGGGATTGCGGAGCGATGCCAGGCTTGTCCTGGCTTTGGAGAGGGCTGTCTGGTCCCGGAAACACGGGGGTAGCAAAGCAGGTAATGCTTTCCCTGGCAACGGCTTGGTTTATCTTTGGACCTGACGCGCTCGGTGCGAATGCGCCGTCGGCGCTGCCTGGTGTGTGGTTGCTGCCGGCTGGGCAGGGGCGAGCGTGGGGGGTTTTGCGTGGGGCTCAGCAGGCTGGGGTGAGGCAGCTTTCTGCTGGCCAGCTCCACAGCGAGCAGAAGCACCAGCTTCCTGGTGTAGCAACTCAAAGCACCGATCAATAGGAATAACTACTTATGTGTATAATCTCTTTCCATCTGTCTCTTCCGTCTATCCGCTGCGTTCCACCTAATCACTAGCAAATGCTGCCGTGATGACCTCTAAGATTCATCCTCCTGTAAACCCCTCAGGTGTATCTGATTTTTCACCCCCAAGAACGTGACTGTTGGTTTTGATGAAGTTGAGATTTGCAGATTTAAGGCTTTGCGTAGCCACTGTCTCCCCAGACCTCTGCAATGCTTTCCCACAAATCCCAGCATCCAGCTGAGTGACTGGTGGCTGAGCAAGAAGATGTGTTTTTCAGATTAACGCGCCTTCCCAGCGGAGCGGCCCCGGCGGTGGAGGCTGTCCTTGTGTGGTTGATCTCAGAGCGAAGAACCGTGCTTTGCACCTTTATCCTTGAGACCTGCTGTGACTGTGCATCAGTTCGTTGGTATTTAAGCCATTTTATAAAATCCCATTTGTTGAGGGTTTGCCTTTCTCTTAGGATTTTCTGTTATTTAGTGGGTGTTTTATCTCTTCTAATGTGCCCAAAGGAGTTTCGGTGCATCTGTGCTGTTGAAGAAGAGTTGGCATTAAGCAAAAATTTCTAGCCTTTTGATGATTGAAAAAGCAGGAGTAGGGGTGGGGGAAGAAATTTAATCAGGATTTTTGTTGGCCTGAAAAAGTGAAGAGAAGAATCCGTGCCAGACAAGAGCCAGATGGACAAAAGCCACGACACAAATCTGAGCTCTGACAGCAGCACCCTACCTGGCTCTGGCAGACCAAGCAGAAAACATCGCGTGGGCCTCGGGAGCCTCTGCAGCCCATAAACTTACGAGCAGTTTGCAAAAAATAACCTCTTGCCTTTTGCATAACAGCTTTCGCATGGAAAGAGTCTGAACGCTGTTGACATGCAGCAAACAGCAAGGCTGCACCGGCGGCTGGTGCAGGGGGTTTGAGCCGTGGAAGTCAGCCCCAGGCCTTCGCGTGCAGGGGTGGAGCGGAGTTAATGGGATCAGCGTCCGCGTAGCACTCTTTCAGCACGTGTTTTAATTTCCTGTTTTTTAAGAAATAAGTTTTATATTCTAGGTTTTATTTTTGCACTTGGCATGGAGCTGGTCCCGCTGATTGCCTAAAAAGCCTTGTTGTGTTACAGACAGTTCTGGTTTCCCTAGAACAATATCTGCGCCCCTGCTGCTTTCTCTTAACATCACATAACCAGCTTCAAATTCAGCAGAGAAGTAAAGCGTCAGGATAATTGTCAATAAATAGCAGGCCTTTTACATTGCTGCATGCCTCGCTCAGTCCTCAGCAAAGAGCTGGGAAAGTTCGGGGATTTGTCTCTCAGGACCAGTGATGGAAACTCCTGTTGCTTGGGCTGCACTCAGGCAGACCGGGCTAAAACGTACTGTGGGAAACAACGGTGCGTGGAGAAGTGTGTCATTCAGGGTATGTAACGTGGTGATTGAGAAGGAGATAGTTACCGGTGTAACTGTCTGCATAAAGCTACTTTCCAGGTTTAGGGAAAGCACGTGTGCTGGTTTCAAAGGGAGATCATTAATAATAATGTTATGAGCATCTAATAAGTGTTTTTCATCTATATACTGCTCAGACATGAACTCATCAGCATGTGACATGCTTCTGGCTAGATGACTCCTGCCACACAGGATTTGGGACAAGTCTCTCCTGTCTGTTTAGAAATTGCCCAGAGACAAAGACAGGGTGGTGGTTTGCATAGTGCGCCCGACGGCAGATCCCTACTCCCAGCTCCGGTCCCACGGTACCACCGTCCTGCCACGGAGCCTTGCGGCAGCCATTAGCATCACTGCTGGACCGGGGAACTAGATGCAGGACATGACCTCCGTGGACATTCAGCACTAGCAGGCTCAGAAGATGGTTGAACTCTGGACTTAGGCTTTAAACTGACCGATTTCTCTTTTCTTTAGGATTCCTGTACGCTGTCATTTCACCTCCTTTTTTTCTTCTTCTCCTGCAGCAGTACCCCATCCACGCTGTGTTGCTTCCTTTGCTTTTCATCATGTATCTTTAACCCTTTTGCTTCCAGGACTTCTCCCTCTGCAGAAAGGGGAGTTTCCCGGCAGAGGCCAGGTCTGAGCAGCAGCATCCCTCGCCACGCTCCCACGGGAGTGCACACGGAGCAGCTCTCCCAGGCCAGGGCTGCTCGGTGGCTTCCCCAAACCTCATACCCCCTTGGACTATCCAAGCCCGAGACCCACTGACCACACTGGTGGAAAGGTCGGGTGGGAGAACAAGACATCAGATGTCTCTGTGCTCCTACAGGTCACAAGGACTGAGGATGCTTTAGGTTTTCATGGCTAAGTAATGCCTGTAGCTCCGTGGAGCTTTGGGGTCCCAGCTCAGCCAGTGACACCATGGCCAGGAGCCCTAGGCTGACACTGTCCCTTCTCTGTCCACTTCCAGCCGTCCAGGAGGAGAGGCAGCGGGGGAAGGACCGCAACGAGAACGAGGTAGAGTCAACAAGTAGCGCTAACGAGGACATGCCCGTGGAAAAGATCTTGGAAGCTGAACTCGCAGTGGAGCCAAAGACAGAGACGTACATTGAAGCAAATATGGGCTTGACACCGAGCTCGGTAAGGACCCCTCCCCTTGGCCCCATCCCGGGCACACGGGCAGGAGGGATAGCTTGTGGGGCTTCGGGGTTGACCTAGCACGAGTACAGCAGCGAGCCTAGGTCAGGGAGGGTTATCTTATGGGAAAAGAAATAAGTAGAGCTCAGAAATGCAGCTTTCTTAGCTCTGCTGTAGATGCCGTGTGTGAGCTTAGATGAAAGCGTGAGGAAAGCAAACCCCGCTGGCCCTGCACAACCACCGGCACTGGTGCTCGTCTGTCGCATTGCCATAGCGAAAGAACAGATACCGTAAGGCGTAATTAGAAGGGCTCACAGAGAATGTTTTATTTTAGTTAACAGCCCTTAGTGCTAAAAGGCAGGAAAACACTCCATGTTCTGAAGAGCTCAGAGTCCAATCAAGCCAATAAACAGAGCGGTGTGGCTGAAGTGCAAAGAGATAAGAGTTGTAAAACTGGGGTGTGACTTTTCAGATGTGACTTATACAGCTGCTTGGCTCTAAGAAGAGAAAACCTGGAGAATTTTGCTGAGAAGTTTGCTTTCAAGTTCCTTTCCCATTCAGAAAGCATCCTGCTTCAAGCATCCAGGCTCTAACAAGACCTTGTGTAAACAAGAGATAGCTGACTGGGAAATAGGAAAAGAGTGAGAAGCTGTGATGAGGGAAACTGTCTTGGTCCCTTTCCTAAGAGATTCTCTTATCAACAGGTTGTAGCCTTCTTTAGAGAAAGCCACCCTGCAAAACAGCTACCTCCGAATGTGAGAGCCAGCCTATCCTCTGAAATGCTGTTGCCAGGACAGGCGCTATGCAAAGCCCTCATAAAGAGCCTTATTGCAGAGAAAGTACGTGCTGCCCAGTCTAGGCAGCATTAGGATGCAGTCCCCATTCCTCAATAGCCCTTGGTCCGTGAAAGTGATGGGAATAGCGGAATGCCTCTAAAAGGTAGGACTGCAATTGAGGCAACTAATTCAGCAGTAGGGTCAGAGTGGGGCTAAATATCCCCATCTCTGGGTACGCTGGGGGAGCCTGGAATACTGAGGGACTGGGAAGTCTCAAAGCAAGGAGATCGAGGGGGAGAGGGAAAAAAAATTGCCACGCGCCACTGTGTGTGCTTTTGGGGCCGGGGTCAGCCGCACATGTTTAATTCCTCATTTGCCTTACGGCGGTGCCTTCTGGCAGGCACGTGCCATCCCACGGCGTGTGAGCAGGAGGGGGCATCGCCGCTGCGAGGTGTCGTCAAGGCTGGGGGGGATACGTTCCCCAGTCCCCTGTTAGCTGTTGCCAGGCTTGCTGCTGGGGAGGGGAGCGGCTGGAGCGGGGAGCATCTCCCGGCTGCCTAGCAGCCCTCCAGGGTGGCACAGCGGTACGGCTGGGGCTCTGCGAGCGTGTGGGCTGGCTAACCCCGGAGAGCAGGAGCATAGGCTGAAATGTCCCTCTGCATTGCCTATTGCTCTGCGCGAGGTGTCTATGAGGCGGAGATCAACAGGGTCACAGAGTCATGTGGTTTGGAAAAGACCTTTAAGATCATCAAGTCCAACCGTTAACCTAGCACAGCCAAGCCCACCACTAAGCCATGTCCCTAAGCACCACATCTACACGTCTTTTAAATACCTCCAGGGATGGTGACTCCACCACTTCCCTGGGCAGCCTGTTCCAAAGCTTGACTACCCTTTTGGTGAAGAGGTTTTTCCTAATATCCCGTCTAAACCTCCCCTGGTGCGACTTGAGGCCATTTCCTCTTGTCTTATTGCTTGTTACCTGGGAGAAGAGACAAAAACCCACCTTGCTACACCCTCCTTTCAGCAGCTATTTCTGGGAGGTGGAAGAACTCTGCAGTATTTATTTTCTGCTACAATAATACTTTATCCCTTTCTTCATATGAAGCTGGAGGATTGAGCAGGGAATACCTTATCTGGCAGGGCTTGCCAAGAGATCACAGAGATCAGCTGCTCCTTGTAGGAGTCTTAAGTCTTGCCTGCCTCCATGGGATGCTCCTTTTGGCCTTTACCCACAAGGACGCTTTATGGCTGACGTGCTAAGTGAGGCTTTTCAGTGCACAAAGCTTCCTGCTAAGGACAGAGGCGATTCCTGAGGGACACCCTCCAGAAGCAGATACAGGGCCATGGTGCTGCCTTGCATTTGAGAGCCCCGATGGACCCTGCAGGCAGCGATGCCCTCCAGCTGGAGGGTCCCAGCGCCATGAAGCTGCAAGGGGCTTTTTTGGAGGAGGCAGCTCAGCCGTGGTTAGTGTGGGGCTTGGAGAGGCTCTGATGGCTGTCGGGATTAAAAATACTTCAGGGGAGTTGTAGCCAGTGTTGTGCTGACTTGCAAACAAACCCCAGAGAGCGGGCTGAAATAAATGGCTTTGTCTGGCACTATGTCTCCTCAGCCTCTTGTAGCAAATTGAAAGCTGGTTCCTGCATAATTCAACACGCATTACTGTGAACAAGGATGTGTGTTGCATCTAAATAGAAGCAAGAGGCTTGTTGAAATGCCCTATTATTGTCAAGCGGCTTCTGTCGATGAGGTGACATTTGTAGCAGGTTTAGCAGATGCATGAGATCAGCAACTCGCAGTGACGAGGCCACTGGATGAGGCGAGGGAAGACGGAGGATCTGCCCTCCTCCCAGCCCTCCCCAGAGAGCCCATGTGATGGAAAGGCAAACAAATTCAGTCTCTAATAGACACGGGGTAAAACACAGGCTGTTTCCTATTAGCCTGGTATATTGGGTCCTTTTATTTGTGCCCCTGCACCTTAATCCATCTGCACCGAGCGCTGCCGGTGAGCTGGAGAGCTCCAGCGCTTGTAAGGACGTTTCCACCGGGTTGTGCCAGGCTGGGACGGAGGTGGTAGGGTGCTGTAGGAGTTAACACCCTCCTCTCCCAGATGCTCTCCTGCCTGTGACTGTCACCTTGTGCCATTGTCCCCTGGCTGCTTTGAGAGCAGAGATCCCACCTCTGGTTGAGGGACGTCCCTCTGCTTTGCCCGGCTGGCACTGGCACTGATTTCTACCACCGAGGACAGTGTGGGACCCAACTGTGGGCCTTCAGCGCAGTCCTCGGAGCTGGTAAAGGGGTGGGCTGCAGCCTGTGAGCCTTTCCAGCAAGCCTGGTATCTAAACACATTGCTGACAAAGCATGCTGTGTGAGGCTGAGTATGGGACCAGGGAGAGGACCTCTGTCCTGACACCTTGATTGACACTAGAGAGGATCGGGTACGCTCATGGTTTGAAGCCCATGATGGGGAAGGGAGGGTACAGTGGGGTGTGATCCTTGTGGGTGGCATGGACAGGACAGGGAAGGATGCTGAGCCAGGCAGAAAGCAGCTGAGAGCAGGATCTGCCCCTGCGAATCTGCTTTCCTTCTGCCTTGGGTGGTGGGAGAGTGCCAAGAGGAGCGTTTTGATGACCATCACTAAAACACTCACTTGAAGTAATTGCACCAGTGAGCCCCTGATAACAGCTCTTCAGCTGCTGCAAATAGCTGCTAATTGCGACGGTTGTCTGGCTTCTGACCATGGCAAGGGGGATAAACCCTTTGGGAGGTTCCCACAAGCTGTAAATGAGCATGGCTGCAGGATTCCTCCACACTGTGGGTCCCAGCAAGCCCCAAGACCCCGTGTGGTCCCTGTCCCTCGGGAGCTGGGCGCTGGCCGTATGCCCCGGTCGTACCTGTCCCCGGGCAGGGTGGGTTTGCCTCTGCCCTGTGGCCCCAGCAGCCGCGAAGCTGGGCTCCTGCAGCGTAAGCACCACCTTGGATGGGCTCCTGGCCACTGAAAGGCAAAGCTTGTAACTGAGAGGTGTTATCCCCACTAGCTCTTAATTGGCCTTTGAGTGGCTGGTTTCAAGTCACCATTTTCTGGAAGATGTCTCGAAGCTCCAGTTTTCCAGAAGGATCAGGTGCCTGCATGTCCTTTCATTCTGTCACACGCCGGCACCGTGCCCTTGCTATTTACTGCAGGAGGGGATTTGCTTACTGTGCACGGGGAGGGTTTCTAGCATCGCTTTTGCAGATCCCCTCCTGGAGACAGGCAGGACCCTTTTGGCCTGCAGGGATGATACTTTTAGCTGCCTCTCAAGCTACGGTGATTAAGTTCTACCAGGAAGCACTGTGGTGGTTCCAGGAACTGCCATCTGATGTGTAATTAAAGGCTGGGCCCCTCGCTGAGGCTTTGTAGGAAGCAGCGGTGGGTGGGTACAGAGCTGCTTGCAGAGCAGCGGTGATACAGCCTGGGCTGGGAGACCCGGAGCCCGGCTTGCTGCATCGGGGCGAGACCTAGAGATGGTGACAACCTGCCCAGAAGCAACCCCTGATAAAAGCTTTGGCAAAATCATCTAGCTTTCCTAAAATACCTGCTTCGCGGGGCTTGTGCAGGCACTTGTCGCTTTGTGGGTCAGGTTCTGCTGGAGCACGGAGTCTCCCGTAGGTCGTGTCCCGCTCCGGGGCATGCAGGGCTCCATCCACCCGTGGGAGCCGGCACCGTGGGAACCGGCGCGCCTGGGTTCTCCACCTGGCTGCTCCAGCTTGCTGACCAAACTGGGGTGACTTGAAGTTGGTGGTAGTTCCTATAGCCTAGGCCAAGGGTGTCCCTTCTGTAAATGCCTCTGAACACCGATGTGCCTCATGTTTCCAGCAAAACACTTAACCCTGCGAAGCTGCTCCTCACACCCAGTGTAGGGTTTTCCTGTTGTCCAGAGGAAATCCTATCTTATCTCCCTCTCCCAGGGAAAAGCCCAATCTCTGTTCACATCTCCTGCCCCAGGGAAGAGCCCCAGCTCCCTCAGAGCAAGACTCCCCTGCCCTTGCACCCCTCGGGGAGCTGCTGGAGCTGGGCAGAGCAAGGAGGGAAAATCCCCGTAACGATGCTCCCTGCTCCTCGGCTGCGCTGCTGAACGCGAGCCCATTCCCATCCATCTCTGCACACAACAGGTGAAAATACTTCGAAGGCGGGTGCCCCTGAGCTTGCCAGATGCTGGTTATTTTAAGCCTGGAGAATGGGAGATGTTGGCCACCGAGGCACTGAGTTTGTGTTTGCTGCCAGGGGACAGCGGAGGGGACCGGGCAGGGGTCCGGGGCACGGCTCCCGGGGGCAGGAGACTTAGCAGCATGGTCCTCGTCTGCCCAGCCTAGGAGAGGGGTTTGCCGTAGCGCAGCCAGCTCGTGACGGGGAATGGCCTTGTCCTGCTGAGACCGAGGGGGAGGTTACGCTGGGGTCCGTGTCTGCTGCGCCTCCGAATTCACCCTGCAACTCATTCCTGCAATCCAGGGGTGAAGTAAACACTGCTCCTCCGATTTGGAACCTGCTCTTTTAAGGACATGGAAGAAAAATAATTGTACAATCAAAGCTGCTAGGTATCAGCAGGGATTACAGTGGGATATGCGGAGGGGTTTATACATCCCTGTCCGGAGAGGTAAACCCGACATACACACTTGCACTAGCGAGGGTTAGACAGGCTCTTCCAGTTCCTAATCACAAGCCCACTTGAGCTGTTAGCAGTTCCTTTAAACAGGGATTTGGAGTGTTTAGGCTGACTGTCCTCCTTGAGAGCAGATGGTTTTTGTTACTGGATAATATTTCAAAGGAAAGGGTTTTTCTCTTTTTTTCTGTAACGCCCCCTCTGGTGCCGGTTTATCGAGCTGGGAGATGCTGGCATGGGAGCATGCCTGCTGCACGGGTGCGGGCGCCTGCCCTTCCCTGGGCTGGAGCTCGCTTGGTTCATCAGTCAGTGTGATGACATTGGGTCTCAGCACCCCTGGTTCCTGTTTTGGAGCTTGCTAAAAACTTTAAAACCATGTGGTGGAGAATCTCCTTTCCCTGTGAGTGATAGCGTCCGGTTCTGGGGTGCTCCTGACTTCGGGGTCCTGCAGCAGGGAGGCAGCAAGCCTCTTCAGCTGCTCCTCCAGCCTCTCCTCTTCTTGCTCTGCCTTCTCTGAGCCTTTTGATCTCCTTTTCTTGGCAGCCCAATGACCCAGTGACGAACATATGCCAGGCAGCAGACAAACAGCTCTTCACCCTGGTGGAGTGGGCCAAGAGGATCCCCCACTTCTCCGAGCTGCCCCTGGACGACCAGGTCATCTTGCTCAGAGCAGGTGAGTGGGAACCGTCCCCGCGTGGGCTCCGGCACGGCGCCGTAGGAGTGCTGCATCTCAGCGGTGGCAGGTACTGCGCTTAGATTTAGGTCCTGGCAACTTGAAAGTCTTTAACTGATTCTGAGTAATAGCCTCTGATAATTCAATTGCTAAATAGGATTTAAAAAGCCCCAAGGGACGAATTGCTGAATGTGATCCAGAATGTTGCACCAGTTGCCAATCAGCTGAAAAATGGCCCAGCTTCATCTCTGATGAGCGAGGCGCTCCGAGATGTGCGCCGGGCGGCTTAAACCAAGGGAGCTAAGCGTTGCCTTCCTCCCAGGCTGCGACTTGAAAGACCAAGTGGGCTTGGGGACTCCATGAAATTTCATCAAACTAAAATGTTTGATCATAATTAAAACCAGAAAGGGGAGAAAAATATATCAACCTCCTTCTCCCACCCACAAAGATGAAAATAAAATTATCTGGGTTTATTTTAAATTTCCTTGTGCGGCAGGGGGTCTGCAAGAATGGAGGCTTTGGGAGGTGAAAAGCAGTTAGCTGTAAAAAGGGTCTTCTCCCACCGAGTAAATTCAAGCCCCTACTGCTGGCAGGTTATTCACAAAGACCGGAGAGGGCAAGAAATCAAAAGCAGAGCTCAACGAGGGTGCATTTTAGGCATGAAGCTCTTTGCATAGCTCCAGTCATCAGATAAGTGATGAAAAAGGCTTTGGCTTGACGCAGCGGAGAGTTTTGCTCCCTTAAACAAAGAGGAAGGCGAGTTGTCAGTGGGACAAATGAAGTGGCTTCCAGCAAATGACAAACTCCCATGTGCAGGCTGAGACTGGGCGAGGAAATGAGGAGACCGTGATGGCTGGTGGTGGCACCCAGCTCTCCACTTGGCAATGAGAGACACTGACCTTGGCTACTCGAAATCATCAAGGGAATTCAAAAGGGAATGATGGCGGAGTCTGGTGCAGAGCAGAGGTGCAGCCACGGGGCAGGGCAAGCTGGTGGGCTACCTGGAGTGAACCAGTCTGGCAGCCAAAGCCAAGTAAGCTGGCGGCTCTGAAGTCCCTGGTAGTTCTAAAAGTTCTTGTTTCTCCAAAATGTACTTTTATAAGGGAATTCAAGAAGGGAAAACCATGCAGGGTGTGTGCTCCTTTCTCTGCACTTTTCTGGCCTAAGGTTAATGGCCTCTATAGAAAAGACGTTGCTGACCCA